CGTCTACTTACCGTAACGAGATTTATGAAAACAACTTATAGAAGTAATGACATAACACATTTTATAATTTCATATGCAATCAGTTAGAATAACAATTTTCTCTTTTATCAGCTTACTGATATCTAGGGGGGTTCAAGGGATGTCTCCATAACGCGTGAACCCTTTCATTTAACATTTTCAATTAACGAGTCGTTCCCATATTCCGTCCGGTATGAGCACCAAATTACTAAATCTCGATACCTCATCCGATATGAGGGTGAAACGGGTTGTTCTCATACCCCATTCGGTATGAGGATGAAATGGGTCGTCTTCATACTCCGTCCCATATGAGTGTCAAATAACTAAATCTCAATATCCCGTTCGGTATGAGACAACATTCACGATAGAATTTTCTATGTACCCGGTCCGTACATCATCTCTCATAATATCCAGTAAAGCTGTTGTTTCGTCCATTCACTTAATCACACAATTTTTCATTTACCTTTAATCTCCAGTTTCTCAATTCAACCGTGATCACATAAAAAAACAAAACATGCATCAGGGAATACGATCACATCCCAGCTTCTCAATTTAACCATAGTTACATAATGCAAATAATACATGCATTCAAAACTATAAAATTGATCAATCAGATATTATCATGCATTCAACCTGTAAAATAAATCAACAGAAAATAATTTTCAGTTATGGTTCCATTATGGATATTTTCTAAATTGCAGAGAATACTGTATTACTGTTAATTAGACTTCAATTTTATAATAGAGAATAAGGTGAGAGATTCTTACTCAAATTGATGCCCGAAATGCTAAACTTGCTGACTGCACATACTGGCGGTCTCCGGGTTCCATAAATTTTTCTTCGGGGATTAAAACACGCTACAAGTACCTAAAAATATCCCAAAAAATAAAAAATCAGTGTTAGGACCCCTTTTTGGCCAATTTTGAAATTTCGGTATGGCGGCTTCGCCGTGCTTCGGCGATGGCACCACCTCCCGCAGCGGCAGTTTGCCTCAAGTCAACTATTTTCGGTCGCTTTCGGCCGATTTTGTATCAATTCTTGTGAGAAAATACATTAAGGGGCATCGGTTAGCCGAAATAGTCAAAAAAACTGAAACTCACCAGTGACGGGGTCCTCCAGTGCAGCTGCTCCGTTGGCTCACATTTGCATTTGAGTGTTTTACTTCGATCAACCTGTAGAGAAGGAAACGATGATTACAATGATAGAAGAATTACGTAGAACAGGAATCGGGAAGGGCCTCATCGGAAGCGTTTTAGTAATTTCTCATAGCGACGTCGTCGGGGCTTTACCTGCAGTTTTCAGGCAATCAACCGATTTTTTTGCTCTGATTTGGCCATGGGGCTGTTTAAAATTGAATTTCGAACAAATGAGAAAATTTTTACCTCTTTTGGCAGTCGGAAGTGGCTCAGGCTCAGTGGTGGGTGGCAGAGGCTTCCTTTCCGGCGGCTGGGTCTTCTTCTCCGGTGGGGGGTCTGGTGGCTGGGGTTAGGATTTGGTGTGAATAAGGTTATTTATATCCGTCACCTTTTAATC